TTATCTAAAATACATTCATAGTAGACTTTAGACTATAACTACAACACTGCACATACGAGTTATTCCAGGCCGAAGATGATGGTAAAGCTACATTGTAGCTGTCAGCAAGCTCCACATATTCATTTGTAAGTTGTAAGCAAATTTTTTCCCAGCGCTGAATTTGTCCAAGAATTTGAACCTGGTAATAGTTGTGTAAATCTCTGATACTTCCAAGGCCCATTGTGTGAAAAACTTGCTCGACTGGGTCCTACACAGAAATAATATGGTCATATGAGCATTTTTTGATTTATTAAAACAATGACCAGCATATAAGCCAAGGATTGAAAATAAACTCACAGGGAAGTTATTTCCCCCTTGCAGGGCTTCCTGATCAACTGCTACCCTTAGCATACCAGTCAGGCGCCTTAAAAAGTCATCTACTGCATCACGAAAGACATAGAGAGTCTCACTCATTGAGGCTGGACAACAAACCAGTGATTCAAAAAATGTTAGAAATGTTGATTAAAAAAAAAAACAAAGGAATCATGGTAGCTTCTTTACATACCATCCCAGCCTGAATGAGCTGCAAGTGCTGATATGCTTTTAGTCAGAATATGCAGGCAGGAATCCAAACATAATTCTTCAGGGGGTGATCCTTGTCCCAATGTAAAGGGCCTGAGAGAAAAGGTATTACTAAATTGAAAAAGATTTGTCTTAAAAATTCAATCACAGAAACAGACAAGGACATTACGTGTGTCGCGTAGGAAGGAAGCCCAGTGGGTGAACCACAGGATGCTTTAAGTGAGTTGCTGGTCGCTGAGGAGGAGGTGGAGCAGCAGGCAGGCGCTGATGGAACTGTCATCAGTAAGGTCACAGACAGAATTCAAAACCAGACATTCAATATTAAACCTCATTTAGTAATCTTCTAAAACAACCAATATTACCTGAGACGCGGGTGATGAAATTCTCCCATTTGCAAGCGCTATCAACTGCTTCAACGCCGTAGCATGTTTCCTTAAGTCTAGAGAGTATGACACCTCTCTATCAATCGAGTAGCTTTCAGGGTCAAGACTACGACACAATATCAACAGTTAGTATGAATTTTGAACAGAATGGGCATAAAGCAGAAATAAAGGACATACTCATCCTCTCCTAGGCTATCCAGTGGATCACCTTTGGTATATTCCACAGAGCACGATTTTTCAATTAAATCTTCCACTAGTTCATTTGACACATCCTTTAAATCCAGAACACTGAAATAGAGCAGAAGATTAGTATCAATGTTACGGTAAAAGCCCGTAGACCGGTAAATCCGGGCTTTTCCCGGTCAAAGCCCGGTTTTACCGATGCCCCGCGGTAAATGCTGTTTTTAAATTTAAAAATCGGACTTTGACCGAAAATTCTGGCTTTTACCGATGCACATCGGTAAAAGCTGGAGTTGGGCTGCTCTGCAAATCTAACTGTATGACAAGACAGTTTAACTAAAAGTTTTGCAGCTTAAAAACTAAAGTGCAAAACTGAAAGTCTTACAGATTAAAATGCAAAACTAATAAGTTCTACAGTTTAAACTGCAAGACTGTGTAGTTAAACAGTTAGAATTGTCAAACTAGCCCTATGCAGTTGTTCAGTTTAAACTGTTGAACTGTCAAACTAGCAGATGTTCAGATTAAACTGTTGAACTACACAATTTTGCAGTTTAAACTGTAGAACTTTTTAGTTTTGCAGTTTAAACTGTAAGACTTATAGTTTTGCAGTATAAACTGTCATTCTGTTATACAGTCCACCGAGCTTTTACCGTTTTTCACATCCTATACCAGCATTTACCAAATCACAATGGTAAATGCTGCTCCATGAAATATATTTGTGGCTTTGACCGGTTAAAGCCCGATTTTTAATGTTAAAAACAGCATTTACCGTTGGGCATCGGTAAAACCGGGCTTTGACCGGGAAAAGCCCGGATTTACCGGTCAACGGGCTTTTACCGTAACATCAAAACTAAATCAATGTTGATTATCTATTGTGTAGATGGATGTTGCTCAAAAAATAAATGACCACAGACACACGTCTGCAATATTTTCCTTCCCTCTCCCAGACAGAGATATATTGTACGATTATACTTGCCTTGTAGCTGCTTCTGCACCATCATATTCACCCCAATGTTTGAGAGGGGATCTTATACTACCCCAGTGGCTGGTTGAAGTATTCATGTTGACCTATGGATAGAGTAGATAAATAGATAGATAAAAGGCTCAAGTTCTTTTTAAAGTGATTATTGAATAATATAAAGTAAACCGACGTGTAAACAAGCACCAAATATTGGCGAAATTTTCTTTCAACTCAGCTTATTTACTAAGGAACATTTTCGAGGTTAGTAATTCGGATATGCCATTTAACAAAATAATTTACGTCGTGGAACAGAAATGACAATGCAAAACATTTACCTCGTAATAAATTCACGCATGATAATTATAAATTAACTGAACGTATTTACGAAAAATCACAATAAATGCATTTCAGAAGTACGGGAAAATCAAAATATAAACATGGCACTTTGACCAAAGTACAAAAGATAACAACCTTTTTGTAACCGAAGTTGCAGGACGTTACAATTTTAACAAAAAATATAATAGTTTGGCAATTTCATGTATTCATACATTTATTTATCAACAACTGATCAAAATCAGGGGTTAACATGCTTATAATATCACTTACTAAAATATTTTTTCCCTCCTACGTTGTCAGTGTGTCAGCTGTCTGCACCGTATTTTGTTTTCTTTTGGTTCCCTCTTTGCTCGTCTAAGCCAAGAGCGCTGGCGTCGTGCCGTCGTGTTTATGTGTATACGAGTGTTTTTGAAGTTATAGGGTGACAGGGTTGTCAACAAAGTCCTTTCACAGTATTTGTAATACGTTTGCGTTCCGAGCGACCGTTTTTTTTTCAAGTTAAATGGTTATTTGTTGTACTGTGTGATATACACCCTGATTGCCGAATACCTGTTCTACCGCTATGGTGGGTGTACTCATCTGTCAATGAAATCACCGTCCCTACAACCTTAACTTACTGATTTGCTGAAATTTAATGGATTTCTTTCGATCAGCCTGAATGATTCCTTAGTATTCGATTTCACTTGACCTTCCTTATTTTTGTTTATGCGTTCTTCTTGCACTAATGATGAATAACACATAACCCTACTGGGTGGGGTCAAATTGATAAGACTTACACTTAGTTGGGTTTTGAATGGATTAAAAATTGTTAAAGATTTACTAGGACGCTTGAACTAGCATATGGGCTTACTTTTTAAATACACTCGTATTTCCAAGCATTTTTTGCATCATGTTTTCAATGACAACTGCTTTTCTTTTGCTCATTTTCTCAAACTTCTATTTTAAGTGATCTACCTTGGTTTTGAATGAAATGTGTCTTCCTTGATGCAGTCTTCTACATTGCGGCCGTATCTCACAGCTGTTAGGCACACACTCACTGCAGCCATGTGTCTTGACAATTTCTCTTCACAAGTTGTAGAGAGGCACAACAAACCGGAAGTAGAAGTCAGGTAGTATGAATGGCTAATCATCCAATTTGCAGTTGTTTTCATTTGTTTTAATCCAGATGTATATCTTTTCCCTAAGATCGAACAAAGAATTGCTTTTAAATCCTGTGGTCATCAGCCGTAATGAAAAGGAGAAAGTCCTCATTGAAACATCAGTGAACTCGCTTCGGGTTAGCATATCAGTTAAGCAAGCAGATGAAATTGAAAGGATTCTTTGCCATAAATTTATGAGGTTTATGATGATGAGGGCTGAAAACTTTATTGTATTGCGTCGAAAACCTGTTGAGGTATGGCTGGCTCTGTTACCAGTTTTTTGAGTGTGGTTTTTATCCTCTACTATATATTGTTTCCTTTTCAGGGCTATGATATAAGTTTCCTTATCACAAATTTCCATACAGAACAAATGTTCAAGCACAAGCTTGTAGATTTTGTCATTCATTTCATGGAAGAAATTGATAAAGAAATTAGTGAAATGAAGTTAGCTTTGAATGCCAGGGCTCGTATTTGTGCTGAAGAATTTCTGAAGCGGGTAAGGCAATTCAAATTATCTGTTCAAGTGTAATGCAATTGTAGAACAATAATGATTTGGTTTACTTCCAGTTTTAATCATTGGTATGGAATGCTGACTGCCAGATATGCATTTTACAATCAAGTGTAAGGAACTTCTTTGAAAAATTTTGTAATGTTTAATAAAGTATTAATTGTAATGACAAGAATGGTTTTAATTTATAGTTTGTAATTATTGAGTAAGTCATACATATTTATAGTCAAATAGTGAAAGATAACTTAAGTCAAACAACATGAAGTGGTATATGATTGCACACTGGTCAAAATGGATGGTAACAAATTAACAGATATCTTATGAGGTAGCTTCTTTCTTTGCAGGAGGCCCATCTCTGGCTGGACTTCTTCCTCGCTTGTGGCCTCTGAATTTGTTGTGTCCTCCTTTGTGATCTGGAAAAATAGTAAATCATTTTCAGTAGAAGTTCATCAAGTTCTTCAACCCATAAAGTACAGAAGCAAGTAACTTACGTTTATGGCCCTTTTTATTATGGAATTTCGAAGACTTGTCAAAAGATTCTCGACTCCTCTGCAAGAAGGCCTCCTCCTCTTCCCCTTCAACAACTGATACAGCCATTTCTTCTTCCCCAAACTTGACCTTTTCTCCACTTTCTGTCAACTTCTTCAAGAACTGAAACAAAATAATGGAATGTTAAGCGAATTGCAAATTTCCATTGCAAAAGAAACTCAAGATAGTAAGGTACGCACCTCAGTGGCAGCACCATCCTCTTTACTCATTAATCTGACAAGGGCCTCTTTATCACCAGTATTATACTGGACAAAAGCAACAGCAGCCCCTAATCCAGTAAGTGTTGACTTAATGACATCTCTACTAAGTTCTTCATCCTTAATATCACTAATTTTCACAATGCATCCTTTGTTAAGTTCTTTCCCTTTGCCTTTGTTCTTGTCCTTGTCCTTGTCCTCTGTGGCATTGTTGTCTTTCTTAACTTTCTTGCCCCATCTTTCATCCTTCTCCTTTTTCTTTTCTTCAGAATGAGCAGCACTGAAAATAAAAATCAGGTTTTATAACACTTACTTTCATTACAAAAAATAAAGTGGTTTGACAAATCCTTACTGGGTCATTGTGATTAGTTCAGTTCCTTGGAACTTCACACCATCCAATGCAAGGAAATTATCAGCTGCCTCTTTGGTCTCGAACAAGATGTAAGCAGTGCCTTTGAACATCAGCTTCTTAGTTGATCTATCCACATACTTCCGCAACTGAAAGAATGAAATTAATAATAATATGAATCAAGTTAAAGTAACAAATAATTTATATGCAAACTTACATTGATATGTTCCACTGGACCAAATGGTTTGAAGAAATCAAGGTAATCCCCAATGCTTGTCAATGACTGAGGGAAACCTTTGCAATATACGGTGCGCTCATTTAGACGCTTTTGCCACTCTTCATTCATCTCAGGCAATGGTTTGTTTGGAGACCTTCTAATTTTGGTGCCATCTTCATTGACCTAAAGCACAAAAATCAATGAATACATACAGTTAGTGCAACTTAAAATTGCAGAAAACTATCCCCACTTACTTCCATCAGTGTACTGCATTTCCTCAAAGCTGCAGCAATAGTATCAGCTTTCTTGGAAAGCTGAGCGAGTCGTTGAAACCGAAGCATCACGTCCAAAGGCACCCACCCTTCTTCAAGTTTGATTTGTTCTTGCAAAAACTTGTCTTTGGGCAAATTAATGTTACCAAAATAGTACTAAAAACATACAAGAGAAATTAGAAACAGTTAAGGAGGCAAGATCAAGATTTCTGGATAAGGTAATGATTACCTCAATCTGGTTGGCAATTGTGAAATCAAGTCCAGGTTCACCCTTCTCTTCGGCAGTCTGAATATCAACCTTGGCACCATTTTCTTTCTTGGCTTCCACACCTTCCTCTGTCTTCACTTCTACTCCATTCTCATTTTCTGTTTCATTCTCAACCTTCACCTTCTTAGCCTCAGGTCCTTCAGACTCGCTCTGTTCAAGCTTCACTTTCTTAGAGGATCCGTCTTCAACAGTGGGTTCGCCCATTCTACAACAAAATGCGCATAATTAAGAGACTACTTAATGAACATTATCTGAATCAAAATCAAAGTGTTCCTTTGCATTTTGACAGGGAACCGAATGGGATCATTGGACAAAAAATTACTTGATGTGAGATACACTAAAATGGCGTGATTAGCTGATTCCTGGATGGAATTGGACATTGAAAAATTCAAACTCACAGTTTTAGAATTTATTCTCGCAACATGTGGGGTACAAATGGATCTGAGGGCCTATACTAGAACAGGTTATGCCCCACTCCAAAATATCATTTTTAGGCAGAACACGCACCTATGAGGTGCAGTGAGGTTTCGTGAACGTCACGAAAATATTCCTAACTCGCCGATTTTGATGCAATGCACGACAAAACTTACTTGATTTGATCGCTAGGAAAATTCGCAGACAACAGGACACACGCTTTCACACGTGAACGCAACGTTCTTGTAAACACTTATGGCTGAAAACCGCCGAAGCAACTATTTTTATTAGAAGCATTGCCGGCTATTTCCGGTTCCTTCTTCAAACACAAGAAGACAAAATGGAAAAAAGAAAAAACAGAGAAAATGGCAGAGAGCAGAAAATACACAACAAAACGCGTTAGTAGTGAAAGAAAATGAAAAACTTTATTTTCGTAGTTGTTGCAGTGCCTATTATAGAATAAAGTCGGTTGATGGGGAAGATGGCAGTTATGGATAAGAGTGCAGTTGGCAGCATTTGCGATTTAGTAGTTTGGGAGCAGAATTCAAACGCGTTCGCTGAGAGCGCCGTTGTTATTTCTGGAGAAAAGGCAAGGTTATTTAGTCCAGCTGAGATTAGCAGAAGTTTAAAGGATCCTAGTGATTATGTGCGCGCAATTGTTTAGCATTTATGCTTTTGAATCGTCGAATCGGGCGAGCTCGATTCGTGAGCATGTCGTCTAAATTATTATGCGTACAATGATATGCAGATTCAGAGTCCCTGTTCCTGTTTGCTCTCTCTCTCACACACCCACGTGCCCCCCCCCCCCCCCCC